AAAAAAATAACTTGTAAAATACAGAATTGTATGTTTGTTCTTTGTATTATGCACTGATTTTCTTTCTGTAAACAGATTTGCGCTTTCTCGCGGCTTCTCCCCTGAAAATCCTTGGAAAATTTCATTGATAAGACCTTTATTTTTGCAGAACTGCCGCCACCTGCTTCATCTATGCGCTTGGCCGTGCTGATGCTAATGTCAAAGCTAATCCTGCCATGGATTATTATGAATTCAACTGTGGTAAGCGTAGCTGTCCTTAGCAAATTTTATTCTAAGAAAAGTGATTTTAACCTTACGGAAATGAGCGAGAGACAGAATTATTGGTTAAATGCAATAATTTCCTTAATTTTTTCAGAATCACAATTTGGAGGCATGGCTCTTTGTACCAATGAAGGCATCCGATTCATCGTTAACACTAAAGAACCATACACTGGTGCCATCTATGCTGCTGAAAGATTCTCGACTTGCTCACAGGTTAGTGAAATTTCAATTTTGAAAATTTGGAGTCCAGCGACAAATTTTCAAGTTTTTAGTGGTCCTGACTTGTCTTATTTTAACGAATTCCAGGTTGTTGAAAATGCCAAACAAATCAGCATTACATTCCCACCTCCCACTGTGTCATCTGATTGCGGAACTGTCATCAGGGTGAGAGATATATCTATAAAATTTTGGTTTTTAGGTACAAAAATTATACTGCGCATTATAGGACGGAAAAATGGAAGCCCTTGTTGTCGTATCGCTTGATGGTGTCCTTCCACATCAAGTAACCACTGAATGGGATCGTTTCTACCGAGTATCCTGCGATGTATCCATGGATAAAATGACTAAGGAAGGATCCGTGGTCGTTACAACCATCTATGAAGCTAGGTATGGGCTGTTTTCTTGAATTTCATTAGCAAAGTATGCATAATTTACTTTGCAGCTCACAAAACACTACCGTCTTGGAAGTAGCTACTCCTCCTCCAGTTACCGCTGAACTTACCATTCTGAACCAGCTTGAGGAGCCTCTTCACAAGGTTTGTAGTTATTTTGATTACTTATCCGTAGTTCCTCCTTCCTCCAAAGCATTTATGAAATTTTAGGCCTCAATTGGAGATCCACTTATGCTGGTGATCACTTCTGAACAAGCCGGACCTCATAACATGATGATCACTGAATGCACTGCCACAAGAGTCGGAGGTTTCGGAGACAGCGTGCCCTTCACCCTCATCGAGAATGGGTATGTCAAGCACCACTCAAAGTCAATTCAGTGCAAGGATTTTGATGACTTTTAGATGTCCACGGTATCCTGCTCTGGTTGGACCAGTCGAGCAAGATTTCGACAAGAATCGACTGAAGAGCGATTTGCGTGCATTCCGACTTGATGGCTCTTACGATGTCCAGATAATCTGCTCGATTATGTTCTGTGCTGGACCAAATGGATGCCCAGTGGTTAGTGTATATCATGTCTACAAACATTTTTTACGTAGAAAAGAGCTTCGTTCCACTGACTTAGCAGACTACCTTAAATGTAATGGTTTATAAAAAATACGATGAACCACAGCATTATGCGAAAGAGAAATAAAGATGGAATAAGAAGAGGTGGGAAAAGCTATGAATGTTGGGAACAGTTAGAACAAACAAACGAACTAACAATCCAAGAATAACTTCAGTATGGTGCTACGTACATCTCACGAGTTCGCTTTACAGTGTATCTTGTACGCAAGCAGTCAGCCTATCTGTAAAACCCAGAGTAACTACAAAACCTAAATAGCCACGGAAACCAGAAAAGCTGAGGGTCCCAAACAACAAAGACTCACATTCAATGACGCTTCTGGCTAGCGTCCATTTCAAAATATTGACTGTAAAGTTGATATATTTTTTGAACGATGTTTTCAAATTTTGACCTAATGAAAGGTATGGACTCCATCGTGAAGTGTTTGTTTCAGTCGAACTGTCTCGACTCCGGCACGAATGAGCTGTTCATGTCTCACGGACGTAAGAAGCGTTCGGCACCTCCTACTGAAGGTCAATCGGAAGAAACCCTTTCCGCAATCATCCGGGTCCTAGCAAAGGGTGAGGAAGACGAGCTGCAGTCACATAATCAAACTATGCACAGGTGAGGCACATTTTCACTCCTTTCGAATAAATCGCCAAACTTCAACGCTTTCCAGCCTTCAC